ATTAATTCTGTTTTTTAACTTGAGTAAAAGTGTAAATCTGAATTTATTGAGTTTTTATTCAGTAATTTATTACTTTTTATTTAATATTTTAAGGGTTTAATTATGATACTTCGCTGGATACTCCCAAAATAATTCAGCAGAAATTCGCAGATTTTTACCAAAATTCTCCGCAGAAATAGCAAAAAACGTCCACAGATTCCGCCTGGCCCTGCCTATAAGTTGCCTATATATAACAGCCCACAAATATAAAGAGTTATCAATATCGACTATAATTTCTCAAAATATTTGCCTAAATATGGATTATCGGTTTACAAATAATGAGAGTTTATAAATATCGACAATAATTTCCATATCTATAGCTCTCTAAATGTGTGATTATATATCTATTATAATTGCCTATATATAACGGCTCACAAATATAAAGAGTTATCAATATCGACTATAATTTCTCTATATATCTGGCTAAATATGAATTATCGGTTTACAAATATGAAGTTAAAAATATCGACAATAGTTTCCTTATCTATAGATCTCTAAATGTCTGCCTAAATATATTTATTACAATTGCCTATATATAACGGCTCACAAATATAAAGAGTTATCAATATCGACTAAAATTTCTCTATATATCTGGCTAAATATGGATTATCGGTTTACAAACATGAAGTTGAAAATATCGACAATAGTTTCCTTATCTATAGATCTTTAAATGCCTGCCTATATATCAATTACAATGGCCTATATATAACAGCTCACAAATATCCGCTTACAAATATAAAGAGTAATAAATATCGGCAATAATTTCCATATCTATAACTCTCTAAGTGTTTGACTATACTTCGATTAGAATTGCCTATATATATATATATATATATATATATATATATATATATATATATATATATATATATATATACATATATATATGGCTCACAAATATGATGAGTTATCAATATTGACTATATCGTATATTCCTTAATGGCTGTTTCTATAGATGAATGAAAAGGCAAACATATGGCTCCAGGAATAACAGATCTCTGTGCTTTTAAAGATGAGTGGCGTGCTGAAGGGGTAGAAGGAATATCAGCCCTCATTAGTCAGCGTTTTGATCCGCCGGGGCTTATGGTACATGTAAAACTGATTTGTTTTGATGTGTTTGCGCTGGAAATGAGCTCTAATCAGATTAAGCTGAGAGGGATTTTTTAAAAATACTTCTGCCATCTCTTTTCACACACCAAATGAAGCTTTTTGTCAATGATTACTATGCGGAGAGAATGACTTGAGCTGTAATTACAGAGCTCGGGCTGCCTGTGTTTGATTTTTGCTGTAAATCTGGCCCTGGATCTGCGATAACCGCCAGATAGAGTGAAACAACAGCAGGAGGACAGGCTGTACTTTAAAGCACACTATGACTCATCCCGTCCACTTATCGTAACGCTCACATTGATCACATCGGACAGACTCGTGATGGCAGACAGACCTGATGGAATTACACCAGTCCACAGGTGCAAATTGTACTGTTTTGCTTTGTTTTTTATTAATAGGTTAACATATATATTAATTATCCATTGATTTTTCATGCACTTTAATGGCACTAGCTGATTTGTTTGAATCTTGAAGATGTTGTGTGGCAGGATACGTCAATGAGTAGCTTGTGTGCTGATTGGAGCAAGCGAATTGTTTCGTAAAATGATTTCTCTGAAAAAAATTGAGTTATTTAAGCAGACACCTAGAAAATAGTGCAGAATATTAAATCATTTTTGTGTGGAGTTTGTATGTTCTCCCCCTCTTCCTGTGGGTTTCCTCTGGGTCCACAGTCCAAAGACATGCACTGTAGGTGAATGGAATAAACTAAATTGGCCATACTGTATGTGTGTGCATGTGCGTGTTTGGGTGTTTCCCGGTGTTGGGTTGCAGCTGAAAGGGCATCCCCCAAATAAAACACATGCTGGATAAGTTGCAATTCATTCTGCTGTGGTGAACCCTGATTGTTAAATAGACTAAGCCACAGAAAAATCAATGAATGAAATTTTTGCAACATCATGGTACAATGTTTTCCTACAACACTGCTCAAAAAGTTGCTCTGTGTAAAGCAAAACTTAACTTTGTTGATAAGAACAGCTGCCATACTTGTTCGTATACTCTAAAACATGATTCTGTAGCCCTATTTATTAATAACTAACAAATGTCTTTAAAAGGGTGGTCCAGGGTGTATTTTTAAAGCTTGGTTGTGTTTGTGAAATGCAAAGCATCGTGTACTCATGCTTCACTTGTAAAATATCACATTATTTTTTCATATATCTTACTAGCTAACATGAAAACCACTGTCATATTTCCTAGTTCCTTCGAAAGCCCACCCTTAAGAGGCTCTGATTGGTTTGCTTACATAATGTACTGTGATTCGCGGATCAGCTCCAAGTTACCAGGTCACGCCCCTACAAGCACGTGCTTTTGCGATGTGTAAACAGTTGCTGAATCAGACAAAATAAAGAGCACACAGCTAAGCCTCGTGCCTGCTCTCTAGAATAAAATCTAACAAGTGTCTCACATATATTTGGGTTATAAGCATATAAAACGTTCAGATATCTTTTGTGAGTTTGTTATTTGAGATGTGGAACACAGAATACGTCTGCATAGGGAGACGCTGCTTGTGCTGCTAAAGATTGTGTGTTTACAGCGGTTTGACTGATAATTATAAATTTGTAGATAAATTGTTAGCGGTGCCAAACAGCATTTCCCATTGTTTACATCTTTGTTTACGTCCTCACTACAACATACCATTAACGCTAGAAACTGTGCATGTTATAGATCAATTTTAACAATTAGAATACAGTTTGGTTGGAGCAGTTTTTAGCTGAATCCAGCACTGAACAAGAGAGATTCTGGAAGCTGTTCTTTGTCAAATGCTAGCTATATATTTATTATAGTTCTCTGGAACATAATTAAAATTGTTAGCACTTCTCTCTTTGTGTTCTGTCCTTTATAAGCCACACTACAGAAACAGAAGAAGCTCTGTGGCAATAGCAGTGGTTGGACGGCATTTTAGCTTTCTCTGCTATAACATTACAGCTCCTCTGGCCACGCTCCTTTGCTTTGTGGGGTGTGTAGCCCGATATTAAAAAAGTAAGGAGTAGAAAGTACAGATATTTGTGTAAAAATTTAAGGAGTAAAAGTAAAAATTTGTCAGAAAAATAAATAGTGAAGTAAAGTACTGATACCAGAAAAATCTACTTAAGTACAGTAATGAAGTATTTTTACTTTGTTATGTCCCATCTCTTACAGTCACATGCTTTAAAAACGCATGCAAATCATTATCTTGTTGGTAGATTTAAAGGTAATGTTTGCAATGAATCCACAAAGCAATTACAGTTGAAGTCAGAATTATTAACCCCCTTTGATTGTTTTCTTTTTAAAATATTTCCCAAATGATGTTTAACAGAGGAAGGAAATTTTGACAGTATGTCTGATAATATTTTTTCTTCTGGAGAAAGTCTTATTTGTTTTATTTCGGCTACAATAATAATTTTTTTTAATTCTATTAGAAGGACAAAATTATTAGCCCCTTTAAGCATTTTTTTTTCGATAGTCTACAGAACAAACTATCATTATACAATAACTTGCCTAATTACCCTAACCTGCCTAGTTAACCTAATTAACCTAGTTAAGTCTTTAAATGTTACTTAAAGCTGTATAGAAGTGTCTTGATAAATATCTAGTCAAATATTATTTACTGTCATCATGGCAAAGATAAAATAAATCAATTACAAATGAGTTATTCAAACTATTATGTTTAGAAATGTGTAAAAAAAATCTCTTTGTTAAATAGAAATTGGGGAAAAAAATAAACAGGGGGCTAATAATTCTGACTTCAAATGTTTGTTTTGAAGTGTGGCTCCTGTTCAACTACAATAACATCTCAGGATCGCACAACCTGGAATGTGATTATTGCATGTGCACACATTGCGATATCAATGCCAAAACAATATATGGTGCAGCCCTAGTACAAACTGTATTTTCTAAATCCCTAAACCCAACCCTTAGTTTTTTTTATTTCCTGACGAATTTCTGTATTATTCTGTATGAATTTTAAGCCTTTTAAAAAAACAGACGCATGGTGCAATGTCCCCATAAGTCATCTTCTTCTTGTAATACTTTCCACAAGTTCACACTTACAGATGTTTGAATTAATAAAGTGCATTTCAAAAGTTCATGCTTAGATATGCTTGACGCTATTAGGAGCTTTGGCATGTTGTCCCGGGAGAGAACCCTGAGTTCAGAGATAATTAAGTCCAGGGCTCCTGCCTGGTCAGTAAGCATATAAGGGGGTCCAAGATCAGGTAGGTCTTGAGAGCTTCTCCTGGTAACGGAGGAAAAGGAGGAGATGGGGTGGAAGGGGGGATTCTTCCAAAATGAAGATAAGGTAGTAGGGCAAAATCGGTCTAGTTATTGTAAGCTTGAATCAATCTGATTGGATTTTTGGCCAGCCACGATCAATCATATCATGTGCTCTTCTCGAAATTAGTTTGTAAAACTTCACTTGACATGCTGTCCAGGGAGATTGCTTTGAGCTTAGAAAAAACACCCTAACTCGTGTTATTTCCCCTGTCAGGAAAGATAGAGCTCTATGGGTCCGAGTGAAGTGTCTAGCCTGGCCTCAGAATGCTCCACCATTAAGTAAATATTGTTTTTAGAAAAAGCTTTTTGTATTTAAAGCTGAGGGATACTGAAGTCGTGAGATAATAGAGGTTGGACGAGCTTGATATTTATGGGGGTTTGATCTTATTGGACAATAGAAAGATTCAATAAGTCAATGACCCATTAGAATTGTCGAAACATCCACGCATGCTCCTACCCAAAAATTGTTTATAAAACATCATCTGTCATAAGCATGTAACTTGACTGATATGCCACATAAACATGCAAACACACACACACACACACCCTGGAGCAGTGGGCAGCTTTTTTTTTCCCTCACCACCTGGGAGGCAGTTGGGGGTTCGGTGCCTTGCTCAAGGGTCTCACCTCTGCCATGGTATTGAAGGTGGTAGAGAGTGTTTGTACATTCACTCACACCTACAATCCCTGGCAGTACTGAGACTCAAACCTGCAATCTTTGGATCACAGTTTCGACTCTTTGACCAGCAAGCCACAGATGCGCAGTAGTGCTCAAACTGGATGCGATTGCTGGTGCCTCAAGATACATAAACCAAGTAGTGCATACACTTGAAGCTGTTATGCAAGAACTACCTGTATATAGAATACTATACTCTATCACTACATTATCACTATACTGTTTACCAGAGGTCACCAAACTTGTTCTTGACGGGCTGGTGTCCTGTAGAGTTTAGTTTCAACCTTAAACAAACACACCTGATCAGGCAAATCAAGGTTATACTAGGCATATTTGAAACTTCCAGGCAGGCAAGTTGGAGCTAAACTCTGCAGGGACACCAGCTCTCCAGAACTGAGATTGGTGACTCCTGCTATACACTATTATACTTTATCAACATGAATTGATTGGTGAAACAACAAACAGCCACCCATAAATAGTCTGTAAACAAAGAATCAGGCTGTCTTTGAGTCCAATTGCAATCCATTTTTTATGCGCTACGCTCGCTGACTTCCCTGTTTTGTTCCAATGGATGTAAGTCATTGATTAAATTAAACAAGAGTCCACTACTGGTGGAACATCTTGAAAGGGTTTAAATGGAATGCCCTAAACCCGGGGTGCCCAAACTCGGTCCTGTAGAGCCGTTGTCCTGCAGATTTTAGCTCCAACTTGCCTCAACACACCTGCAAGGATGTTTCTAGAAAGCCGAGTAAGAGCTTAATTAGCTAGCCCAGGTGCGTCTGATTGGGGTTGAAGCTTAAATCTGCAGGACACCGGTACTCCAGGACCAGGATTGGTGAACCCTGATATACACTATTATACTTCATTGACATGGATTGATGGGGGAAACAACAAATAGTCACCCACAAACAATCATCATCTACAAACAAAAAATCAGGCTGTCTTTGAGTTGCATTCCAGTCCAATTGCAATCCATTTTTTTATGCGCTTCATTCGCTGACCTCCCTCTTTTTTGTTCCAATGGATGTAGGTCATTGATTACATAAAACAAAAGTCCACTACTGGCAGAACATCTGAAAGGGTTTAAATGGAATATCCTAAACCAGGAGTTCTCAAACTCGGTCCTGGAGGGTCGGTGTCCTGCAGATTTTAGCTCCAACTTGCCTTAACACACCTGCAAGGATGTTTCTAGAAAGCCTAGTAGACGCTTAGCTGGTCCAGGTGTGTCTGATTGGGGTTGGAGCTAAAATCTGCAGGACACCGGCCCTCCAGGTCCAAAATTGAGAACCCCAGCTCTAAACCTTTGATCACTTGGGAAGTAGACTGTTGTGACGTCACTGTCACATTGCATTCTGGGACATATTGGTGCTGCACTGGACATATGAATCAGACTCGCTCTCTTTGTTCAAATTGTAGGATCAATGGTATGTCCACATAAGCTTCTCACCATAATTTGATGAAGTGGAATGCAATAATCCAATGTTGGTAGAGATTTCCCTGAGGGAACAAGGGAACAGAAGTGTATTTCTAAAAGTGGACTGAAATGCAGCCATTGAGTTGACATGAACAATGGTTAAAGTTACTTATTATATGGCTGTCTGCAATACTCGATCTAGGTATGTTATTCCAGAATAACAACTGCTGAATAACATAGGCTCATCCGGAAACTTCAAATCACCTTGACCGCCAATGAATCCCTTCACATCCATAAATACTTGTCTGTTTCTGTTTGACTATTTGGAGCCATCTTGTGACAAGGTAATACATAGGTTAGTGCAAGACTGTCAAAAGCTTAACGTGGTTGTGTCATGGAAGAAAGGGAAAATCGGGAGGGGTGGGGGATTGTAGTGTTATGGTGGTCACGTATGAAAGTGAAGAGCGGGGGGCATTGCCACATGTATGATAGTGACGGACAGCTGTTTTTGTTTGCCTTTAATGAAAAAACGTCTAACCTATTACGACTTAAAACATTGTTTAGTGTCCAATTTTTAGATTTTGTGGCAATCACTATGTACATTTTTTTAGAAAGTACATCCAGGAGGTTGTTTTCCCAGAATAAAGCCCTTTAGTCTTTCACAACAGCCTTCTGCGGTTGCACCATCTTGTGAATAAATAATAATTAGAATAATGTATGCAGCTGTTTTTAATTCAATACATAGTACTAAGTAATACATAGGCTAGTGGAGGACCGATTTAGGCAAACGGCCCAAATGTGTCCTCATGGTGTTCATGCCGCCCTAACGCAAGTGAAGTGAGACGGGGGGGTTAGTATTGCATAAGAAAGAGTAGAGCGTGAGGGGTGGGTGGATTGGTATGGTGGTCGCAGACAAAAGTGAAGAGCAGGGTGGGGAGTGTTGTCTCGTGGACGATAGTGACAGACCACTGTTTTTGTCAGCTTTGCCTTTATTGAAAGAATGACTAAACTACAGCATCAAGAACAAGTGACCAACAGAAAACAATAATACAGAAAAGGCAATCATTCTGCCTCCTGATCATTGCTTTGAGCAATAAATATGGAAGTTTTGTCAGCAGCTGTTGTCCAAATCTTTAATGTACACATTTGTACCAAGTTCACTTGAGCCGTGGATAGTTCCAACATTATAATGTCACGCAGTTGTACCAACCACTTGCACGTGTCCAGGTTAAGCCAGCCAGCCAAACAGCTGTGGTAAGATTCAATGAAGAATCATCACTCAGTAATAATACGAAAGGATTCATCGGTACAGGATATTCAATCACTTTAGATAAGATAACACACACTTTATTACAAATTGTTAGCACTGCTGAAATATATTTTTAATGCCTATGTTAGATTTGGTATATTTTGACAACAAGGGGGTCAACTGACATCAAATCAACCTTAATTATGTTTTAAAGAGAGCTCAGAGTATCTTATACACCCCGGATCACCTATTGTACTGTTTCAGCCGCTGCCATCAGGACGTCGTTTAAGGGTGCTTTCACTCAATTCTTTTGTTCCAAAACAGGGATTAAAATTGTTTCAATGTTGTGTTGTGTTCTTGGTGCGCTTCGCTTTCACACGGCAAAGTTTCTAAAGGGACCGAAATAGCTAAAAGAAGTCACATGCGAGTAAACTTGGTCATGGTTTATTTTGCAGAGTCCCAATCAGCTGTTATGCATCGTTATTTTAATTTATGACGATGTGCAATAAGATAATATAAGCGAAAGCTGCACTTTAATTTTGAATGGTGACACCCACAGACATTCCCACAATATGTAAATCAGAGGTAAGACTTACCCATACATAGCCGTTGCATTATAGGCTTTACATTATAGAGAGACATAACAGGTAAACCAAGACTGCTGTTCGGTCAAAAACGGATAGACAGCTCTCGTTATTAGTTAACATGCTTTCACTTTGGTATTTGACATGAAACGCACATTTATTGATAGGGATGACATCCTGACCTACTCATAATTCTCTCTTTATGTAGCCATGTATGTTTACATACCTTTCATACACTGGGATATAGCCAGGTTCAGATCGTATCGCTTTCTCACTACAATCGATCCGCTCCAGAGTTCGTTCCAATCGAGCCGAGACCACCTCATTCAGGCGATTTCAGACAGGTTGTTTTGGCGCGAATCTGAGCGCGATTGCTGGATTCACATACGCCAAACGAACCGCGCTAACTGGGGAATCGCGCCAGGTCCTGAAACAAAAGTCTAGGGCTGTTTCTCAATATGCGTTCTTCAGCGGTCTTGCGTCCTCGTGTTTTCGTGCAACATCATCAGCTGCCTAAGTTCAGTTCCAATACTCAAGACCGCAAGTACGGAGGACGCGTGAAACTTCCCGGATGTGTTCTTGATATCGAGGACGCACCAATGCAGACTTGAGCACCGAACTCGCTCTGGAAGTCCCAGAAGTCATTGCAACTGAAGGTGGGAAGAGCAGCATTTTATTTAGATTTATTATTAAAGTTCAGAGATATCACTTATTTACCTCAGGAGTTTCCCTAAATGAAACGGTGAAAATAAACATTAACATGGACATCTTAATATAGGAATAAAAACATTAAGGGTTGTTTGCTGAAAATCGTATTAAAATCTGTTTTATTTATATTGTGCAGAGTATATTTATAATGTTTTTATGCAAAGTATATATTTTGAAGAGGGGAAAAACAATAAATCGTTGTATGAGTGCTGTAATGTTTAAATAATTTCCATTTTAAACACGTGAAGGTTTGAAGAACGCAGCATCCCATTTCTCAAAGGATGCGTTCTCTGCCCTCGCAGTCTCCTGAGTTCGTTCTTCCGAGGACACCTGGCAAGACCGGTCTCCACAAGAACACAAGTCCGTTCTCTGCGTTCTTGGAATTAAGAAACAGTCTAGGTGTGAAAGCATCCTTAGAGTTCCTATATTTGCAGGACAAATAGAATTAGGAATTCTTTTATAATGGTGGTCATTAGGTCAATAAATGAGTCCAGCGGGATGGGGGAAGCATCTAAAAAATGATGTTTTGTATGATGTGTGATAAGATTTTGGTAATGTGTACTGTGTAATGTGTACCTGTGTTATGGTACCTTGCTGCAATTTTAGTTTTCCTATATTGGATAATGAAGTTGAGTCTGAGTCAATTAGCATTTTTTTATGTGTTTTTGTTGTTGTTGTAATTTTATTAAGAGGAACCTAACGCTCTTCTGTATTTTATACCCTGTACTCTGACAAAAAAGATTTTTGCAACAGCTTATATGGGCTGAATTTAAACAAACAAATTGAGTAATTTTAATTTGTTTGTTTTATTCCAGCCGTTATAAATTGTTTGCAACCATTTGCCTTACATAAATGTAGTAAATCCAATGAATCATTTTTTTTCACTGTACCTGTGATTGAAAAATGAGCCGAGTGCATGTGCTGACGTTTGTGCTGTTGTTGACGAGCCGCTGTTGTCTGCCTCTGTCTTTAGGGGGAGCTGTTGAGCCCGTGCCGCTGTGATGGCTCCGTGCGCTGCACTCATCAGCCGTGTCTGATCCGCTGGATCAGTGAAAGAGGCTCCTGGAGCTGCGAGCTCTGCTAC